ATCAAAATCATTAACTTAATACACATTGACTTGGAAGGAAGAAGAATGCAAATGAAAAATTATTTTTATTGCCAGAGCTGAGTTCTCTTTCAGTGGCTGTGACAACCTAACACCCAAGACAGGCAAGAGGCAGGCATTTTTTATGCTCTAGATGAATTATAGTGGGAAAACATACAGTACTTTTTAATAAAGTTCTGGCTTGTTTAAAAAAATAAATAATTTCCAATATCAAATTTTAAAAATGTTCATTTGCAAGTCTTTCTATTTTTTCTTGCTTCTTTGGCTTTGAATTAAGTCTTTTTGTTGAAATGACAGGTTTTCAAAATACTTTCACTATCATTATGCTTTTTACTTATATTCTTCCAATACATTGGTGTCTCATTTTATGCTTTATAAATTTCCAGAAGACTATGTGACTTTTCTTCACAAACACTGAAAACAAGACAAGAAGACTCCTTCCCAGTCAGTGCTGCACCACCATATTCTCTACTGTGCTATTTTGGTCAAACCAATATTTTGGTCAAGTAATAAGGGATAAGAAAAAAAATTAATATCATACCATAAATTGTCCTGATAAGACAAAGCAAAAAGTGACTGTGGACTAGGTTAAGCAAACACATGCTATTAGTACTCTAAATAGATAATAAAAAAAATTGATTTTTTTAGAACATTAATTTTTAATGCTTTAATTTTACTCCTTTTTTGTTTTTTATTTATTTTTAACAATCACACTTGGGTTTATCTTTTTATTTTATTTTTTTATTATGTTCAATTAGCCAACATATAATACATCATTAGTTTTTGATGTAGTGTTCAGTGATTCATTAGTTGCATATAATAACACCCAGTGCTCATCATCACACGTGCCCTCCTTAATACCCATCACCCAGTTACCCCATCCCCTCACCCCTCTTCCTTCTGTAACCCTCAGTTTGGTTCCTGGATTCCAAAGTCTCTCATGGTTTCTCTCCCTCTCTGATTTCTTCCCATTCAGTTTTCCCTCCCTTCCTGGGTGGTCCTCCATGCTATTCCTTATGTTCCACATATGAGTGAAACCATATGATAGTTGTCTTTCTCTGCTTGACTTATTTCACTTAGCAAAATACCCTCCAGTTCCATCCATGTCGATGCAAATGGTAGGTATTCATCCTTTCTGATGGCTGAGTAATAGTCCATTGTATATGTGAACCACATCTTTATCCACTCATCTGTTTTAAATTCATTGATATATATATAGCAAAGAACTGATACCATGTTTCTAAGTATAAGAAAATATTAACTTATACTTGGTATTATTCCTGCTAAGGACCTCAATATAATTTGAAGGGCTTGTGTATTATAAATGTTAAGGCCCAGGTGCTACTTCTTTATAGAATAATTTTTGATCTATTAAATAAAATATTAATATATTATTTATATAAAAATGAAAATTGGACATTATAAGAATGTTTTTAAAATACAAATGTATAAATAAAATAAAGGTAAACTGTAATCCTGTAACCAAATGATAACCAAAGTTAGTGTTTTGTAGTATATCCTTCCAAGCATTTTTCTAGTCATATATATAAATTTTTTTGAGGGAGGAGGGGCAGTGGGAGAGAGAGAGAGAATCTGAAGCAGGCTCCATGCCCAGCAAGGAGCCCAATGTGGGGCTTGATCTCACAATCCTGAGATTATGACCTGAACCAAAATCAACAGTCGGATGCTTAACCAACTTAGCCACCCAGGTGCCCTAAAAATAATTATGTATAATAAAAATGAAATAATGCTGTAAATTATTCCATAGCTTAATTTTTATTTATTTATTTTTTAAAATTTAGTTTTAATTCCACTATAGTTAACATACAGTGTTGTATTAGATTCAGGTGTACAATATATTGATTCAACAGTTCCATATGTTATTCAGTGCACATCAAGATAAATGTACGATTAATCCCCTTCCCCTATTTCATCCATTCCCTGATCCACCTCCCCTCTGGTAACCATCTGTTTTTTGTAGTTAAGAGTGTGTTTTTTTGGTTTGTCTCTCTCTCTCTTTTTTTTCCCTTCCTTGTTTGTTTTATTTCTTAAATTCCACATATGAGTGGAATCATATGGTATTTGTCTTTCTTATTTCACTTAGCGTTATACTCTCTAGATCCACCCATGTTGTTGCAAATGGAGGTATTTCCCTTGCCTCAGGAGACATACCTAGAAAAAATGTTGCTAAGGCCAGTGTCAGAGAAATTACTCCTTGTGCTCTCTTCTAGGACTTTTATATATATAGTATCATATCATCTTCAAATACCAAAAGTTTTACTTCTTTCTTACCAATTTGGACGCCTTTTTTTCTTTTTGTTGTCTGATTGCTGTGTCTGGGACTTCTAGTACTATGTTGAATAAAAATGGTGAGAATGGACATCCTTGTCTTAGTCCTGCTCTTAGAGAAAATCTCTTACTTTTTCACCATTGAGTATGATATTAGATGTGGTTATTTTATTTTATTTTACTTTAAAGTCAATCACCATACATTACATCATTAGTTTTTGATGTAGTGTTCCATGATTCATTGTTTGCATATAACACCCAGTGCTCCATTCAATAGGTGCCCTCTTTAACACCCATCACTAGGCTAACCCATCCCCCCACCCCCTCCCCTCTAGAACCCTCAGTTTGTTTCTCAGAGTCCATAGTCTCTCATGGTT